GTGGGAGGATCCCCTTGGTGGGCCATGCTTGGCTTAATTCATCTTAGGAGGGAAAATTTGAATACGGGGGACTATTTTAGGAAGTTTGCAATTGTCCTTTGTGGTTAATTAGGAGCGTAGGAGGGAATTGGGATCTCATCTTGAATTTGAAATATGAATTTGAGATCTCATCATGTGCTTGTGCTCTAGGGTTTGCTAGAGACTTGTGGAGAGTTGTTCTTCCTCTCGAATTGAAGAACATTGTATCTTTCTTTATTTTCTTGCATCTTCTGGTGAAAACGTTGTTTTCCTGCTGGGACAGCAGTTTTCTCACTGGTTTTGGGCTAATTTTGATTAGGTTTGCTTGCGAACTCAAATATTACCTTAGGGTTACTTGAGAACTCAAGTATTTCCTATCAAATTGGTATCAGAACATCGATTTGGGACCGTCAACGGCTGAAATCCTGAAATTTCAGCGGGATTTCTTTTTCCGGAAGAAGATATTTGTGATTCTTGGGAAGAGAGATGGCCGAGAAGAAGGTAGAGGTCTTGGAATGCGAGATTGGTCAAATGAAATCAGATTTGGAGAGAAAGTTTTTTCACTTTCAAACTCAAATCACCTCCAACAACGAAAGGATAGGGAAAATTCACGGTGATGGAAGAAATGCTGAAGAAACTGTTGGAGTTGAAGACAAATCCTACGATATCGGAAGCAAGAGAGACCACCGGAGGCCATGGTGTAGGAGGAAATCCAAACCCATTTATGGGGAGGAGAAATTCAGAAGTGGAGGTCATTGAGGGGGAGGACGACATGCCACCTATAGAGCCACTTTCTAGAGAGTAGATTAGTTTGGGAAATGACCGACGGGGTGCTGATTTCATTAGGAGAAGGGAAGAATTCCATCGCCGGGGTGCTGATTTTGAAGGGAGAAGATGAGAATTTGAGGAAGGGTTCGGGTATAACCGCCGGAGGGAAGATCGTGACAGTTGGGGAGCACTGCCTTTTCGAGGAATGGGAGATTATGGAGGATTCAGGGGAGACGGGGGAGACCCACGGGTGAGGAAGCTGAAGATGCCTGTCTTTGAGGGTGAAGACGGTCATGGCTGGATCTACAATGTGGAGCGTTACTTCGCTATCAACGGGTTGACAAAGGAAGAGAAGCTGATGACGGTGGGATTGTGTTTGGAAGGAAAAGCCTTGGCCTTGTACCAGTGGCGTGACAGGAGGGAGCCCATCCGGAGCTGGAGAGAGTTGAAGGATTGCTTATTGGAGCGTTTCCGAGCCGACGGGGGAAGGGGACTTCTATGAGCAATTTTTTGCTTTGACTCAGGAGGGGACCATGGCAGACTACCGAGACAAGTTCGATTACTTGGCTAGCAGATTGGATGACATTTCAGAGTCATCCCTGGAAGGGAACTTCATGAAGGGGTTGAAATTGGAGATCTGAACAGCAGTCAGGGTGCTGGAGCCGAGGAACCTAGGAAAGGCTATGGAGCTGGCGCAGTTGGTGGAAGATTAGAAGAAATTAGAAAGAGGAGCTCGAGAGAACTATTTTGGGGGATCATACAAGATGACTACTACCTTTCTTACCATCAAAAGGGGCAGCGCCAAGAAGTCTGAAGGAGGTTCCAAAGGAGAAAACTAAAGGGGAAATCGGGGAGTTGGAGCATGCCATTATTTTGAAAGAAGGGGAGACACCGATCAGCGTCCGCCCTTTCCGTTACCCACAAATTCAGAAGGATGAGATTGAGAAGTTGATACGGGAAATGCTCGAGGCAGGGATCAGCAGACCCAACAACAACCCTTTTTTCTAGTCCAGTTCTCCTGGTCAAGAAGAATGATATGAGTTAGAGATTCTGTGTGGATTACAGGGCTCTGAATAAAAGCACTGTACTAGACAAGTTCCCAATTTCGGTGATTGATGAGCTGCTGGACGAGCTACATGGGGCAGTACTGTTTTCCAAGCTGGACTTAAAATTTGGATACCACCAAATCAGAATGAGGGAGGCATATGTTCCAAAGACAGCATTCAGGACACATGAAGGGCATTATGAATTTCTGGTAATGCCCTTTGGGCTGACTAACGCTCATGCTACGTTTCAGTCCTTGATGAACAGGGTGTTCAAGCAGTACATCAGGAAGTTTGTCCTAGTCTTCTTTAACGACATTCTAGTATACAACAAGACTGGGGAAGAGCTCTTGGAGCAATTGAGGATGGTCTTAGAAGTACTACAGGAGCATCAACTGAGAGCCAACCTGAAGAAATGCAGTTTTGCTTAGTCAAGTGGTATCCCAAGGAGTGGCGGCGGACCAAACCAAAATTGAGGCAATGCAGAAATGACCACTACCTAGGAACATAAGAGAGTTGAGGGATTTTCTAGGATTGACTGGCTATTATAGGAAGTTCGTGAAGGGGTATGGTACCATTGCATGACCTTTGACTGAGCAGCTGAAGAAAGACAACTTTCCCTGGGGAGATGCAACGACCCAGGCCTTCGAGAGGTTGAAGAAAGCCATGACCACTGTTCCTGTTCTAGCTCTTTCAGATTTCAGCCAAGCCTTTGTTGTAGAGACCGATGCATCAAGATATAGGTTGGGAGCAGTGTTGATGCAGAACCACAGGCCTGTAGCATATCAGATACCATGACGGAGGACTTAGAGGTGGTTTTAGAACCACTAGAGTTGGCAGGAGTCCGGCCAGACAAAAGGGCAACAAAGAAGTAATGATTAAATGGAGAGGCCTCCCTGATTTCGATGCCACGTGGGAACCAATTGATAGAATGATGGATCAATTTCCTTCCTTCCATCTTGAGGACAAGGTGATTCATTGGGAGGGGATTATTGATATGCCGTCGGCCCAGGAGGGGCCTGTTGGACCGGTCCAAGTGTATACACAGCGGGCCCAGTTGGGTGATGGAGAACAGAGAGAGAAGGGGGGGATCCCTAGGTGGGCCATGCTTGGCTTAATTCATCTGAGGGAAAATTTGAATGTGGGGGGCTATTTTAGGAAGTTTGTAATTTTCCTTTGTGGTTAATTAGGAGCGTAGGAGGGAATTGGGATCTCATCTTGAATTTGAAATCTGAATTTGTGATCTCATCGTGTGCTTGGATCTAGGGTTTGCTAGAGACTTGTGGAGAGTTGTTCTTCCTCTTGAATCGACGAACATTGTATCTTTCTTTGTTTTCTTGCATCTTCTAGTGAAAATGTTGTTTTCTTTCCCTATTTTCCACTGTTTGGGTGAAATTCCTGCCGCAAGGCGGCTTTTTTCCTTCTGGGACAGCATTTTTCTCACTGGTTTTGGGCTAATTTCGATTAGATTTGCTTGCGAACTCAAGTATTACCTTAGGGTTACTTGCGAACTCAAGTATTTCCTATCAGAATCCTAAGAAGAAACTTGGGATAGAAAAGGAGGGGCTTCTAATAGATACATGAAGATATCAATGTCTGGTAGGAAAGCTTATATACCTCTTCCAAACCTGTCTATATATTGGGTTTGTTGTGAGCATGGTGAGCCAATATAAGAGTAATCCTATGGAGCATATGGAAGCTGTATATCAAATCTTGAGTTATCTTAAGAACACTTTTGGAAAGGGGATATTATTTAAGAAAAAATGAAGGTATGCAATTGATTCTTTATTCTGATGCTAATTGGGAAGGAAGCCTGGTTGACAGTTGATCGACCATAGGATATTGTTCATTTGTGTGGGGGAGTGTAGTAACATGGAGAAGCAAAAAACAATTTGTTGTTTTCAGAAGCAGTGCGTAATCTGAACTGAGAGCATTAGCAGTTACTATTTGTGAAGCTATTTAGATAAGACAAGTATTGATTGAACTGAGAATAAAGATTGAAGGCATAATAAAGTTGAAATGTGACAATCAAGCCACAATCAATATGACCAAGGAACCAATACATCACAACAGAACAAAATATATTACCATTTATAGACACTTTATATATGAGAAAATAAAGAACTCAAAAAGTAAAGTTGTATATACTCAACTCATGAACAACTTGCCGATGTTATAACAAAGGCGCTACCGGGCTCTCTATTTGATAAGTTTGTTTGCAAGTTAGGATTGTACAACCTGTACAACCCAACTTTAGGGGGAGTGTTGAATCACACGTCAACGAGGGGGCCCACGGCTTTGATAGGTTAACAATTCGTGCGCTGTAGTGGGAGATTTCCTCTTCTGACACCAAGATCTGTCAGATTGATTTTAAGATTCGTGAGATATAATTATTAGAATCAATTAGATTAAATGACTTTCCTCTTCTATTTGTTATAATTAATTATATTAAATGTCCTTCTTTTTCTGTTTATTCTCATAGAGAGAGAGTGTATATATATATATATATATATATAATGATTCTAAGGAATAAAATTTGAATTAAATTTCCCCTAAAGAATTTCTTCAGAACCCATAGCAAGGCCTGAGACTAAAATGAAACAATCTAAAAAGTGTAGGGATTGTTTTGGTCTTTTACTTGTAAAAATAATTTTCAATTTTATTTCCTTTGGCTAGCCTCTCTCTTCCTCAAACAAAAGCAGCCCCAAATAAAATTGTATATAATGGCTTCAGTGATTATTTTTTTTCTACTATTCCTATGTTTGTATGCAAATAAATGCGCTACATGTGATGATTTTGCTAGTTCGCTCTTGTCCTCATTGTAATGATGATGATAGACATTGTAAATATTTGTTTGATTGTAAAGTCATTCCAACCTTGGTATCATGTATCATCCATATAAATATCCCATTTATACATTGAGATGCTATTTTCTCTAATATTATTGTGGTTTTCTTTGCTACCTTTAAGAGCAAATGTTAGCAAGTAGTAACATGCCCGTCTTTATAAATTGTGCCTCGTTCATGCGTTATCTATTTAGGAAAATACTGAAGTTAGATTTGACATCCTATTTCTTGAACTTGATGGCTTATTCTTCATAGTTTTGTGTATTTGTGCTATTAAATTATTAATATCATTATTTTTGCTGTTATTTCTCCGAATATGTTTCAGGTGTGTTCGAGAGGATCAGTCTTCCGTTGTCCTCACTTTGTATTACCTTCATAATGGAAGTCCTAGAGTTGGTTTTCGGTAATATTTCTAAGAGCAATAAGGGATAAATAATACCTAGCATATCATGTTAGTCAAATGTAATCATATTTTGATGCAGTTGCTGATTGGCTGATTCATTTTTTAGGATAGCTGGGAGGGAGTATTTGCTTCCAGTTGGCCTTGTTTTGAAGGTTTCTACGAAAACTGATTTTCTTATTATTTTTTTCATGATATTCGTTGTTGAATGTCTATTAAAAAATCTTTCTTCCAGCATCTTTATATTCATAGGAAAAAAATCTTGTATATTTTTACTTATCTTCATTTTTTTTTTCTATTCGACCTTCTGGTTACTTCTCAATTTTATTGTAATTAATTGATTTTAATTAACATCATTTGGGATGAAATGTTCTTGTTTACTAGAAATTAATGCTTTCAGTCACACCGTACTGTTCTTTATGTGGGTTTTCTGAGTTGTTTCGTTGACAGGCTCTCATTGAAACTACTGATTATGAAATATCTGTGAGCTTGAGCTGCTGCTTTATTGAAAAGTACAGAAAGGACAAAGGTGCTGTTAGTGCTCCACTTATGAGAGAAAGGGCTAGGACAATTCTGGATGATATAGAATTCAGGACCCGTAATGAATGCCTTGAACACATTGGTATTCACGGAGACATTGAGATCATTGCTTTCATTGGTAGATTTAGCCTTAATATATATCGTCCTACTAATGTCTTTTTGTAGGAATTCTATTCAGACCTGCGTTATCTAAATTTGATACTGAAAGTGATACTTTTGTAAGCTGATCACATATCTTACTTTCATTCCTTAATGCATTTCAATTTGCTACTTTAGCATGTTATTGGCGGGCATTTCATTGATATTCATATCTCACTCTTCTTGTATGTAGGTTGGTGAAGCTGTTCTGAGAGACTACATTCTGGTGCATCTTAATAACAACCATGAAAAGTTTAATTTATTGATGTTAGTTACTGTTTCCATTATGCCATTCTTTGTACCACACCCTATATTGGCAATAAGAAGTTCTTGTTTATGCTTATGCTTGATTCTGCTGATCAGTCTATTGTAACACTATAATTTGTTCCTTTAGTTTTATGCTGCAGAAGCTCTTTGCGCTTGTTGATCAGAATGCTGCCCCTGATAATGTGGATGCTCTACAAAATATGGAGGTTCTGCTTATTGGACATATTATGACCATCTATCTTAAGGTGCATTGTATCACTCTCTTGAGTAATCTCTTCCTTAAGACTTAAAGCTCTTATCTCGATAACGTATTCTATGTTCAAATCTTTTAGATTTTATATGATACTTGTTGATAAAAATTAATTAATTAGAAATTTTTAAGTGTGCTGAATTGTTGGCGGGTGTTGATATTTATTGAGGAGGGAAAAGAAAAGGTGTCCACATACAATGTATGTTGACCCATGCATTAATGGGAGATTGGAGAGTTAAAATTGAAATAATTTAAGATTTAATATGATTGAAGGATTTCCTAAAATAGATGTAGGTTATTTAGGAAAGAATTTAAAATTCATATTCATTTGAATTTGAATTCGAAAACTTTCCAAATAAAATAGGAGCTAATTTAGGAAAGTAATGATGGTGAAATGAAATTGGAATCAAGGGAACTTGGAGGGTGGGCCGACGGTGGGGTGTAGGGGAAACATGCATGGCCGATGGTGGGGGGTTTTTGAGGAGGGTGTAGCCGGCGGTTTAGGTGGGGGAAAATGCTTGGCCGGTGGGTTGTGGTGGAGTGGTCGACGGTTGAAGGTGGGGGAAAGAAAGGGTGGTGGTGTTTGGCTTAGAGAGTGGGAGGAGGGAAGAGGAAGCTTGGCCGGCGGTTGTGGAGGGGGTAAGGCCGGCGGTCAAGGTAGAAGGAGAAAAGCAGTTAAGACAAAGAAAGATAAAACCGTGAGCTTGGACACTTTCTACGGCTGACGGGTGATGCTATGCCATCACCTAGGGAATTCAACCATGAGCCCGAACACATCATGCGGCTGGTGGGTATTTCATAGCCCTCACATAGGGACTTCCACTCTCCTAAGAACTCCCATAGCTCTCAAGAATAAAGTGTAGAAACAATATTTTTATTAATCCATCATTGTCTAGTACAAGAGCAAGTACCTCTATATATATACCTTAAAAGAAACTAAAAGACAACTTTTTCCCCTTGGGCTTACATAAGACAAGACCAAGTAAGGGTAAAAATGGAAAATACATAATTAAATAAAAAATACAAACTAAGATAAAAAATAGAGGGATCTCGGCCGTCGATCTTCGTCTCTTTCTTTGATTAACATCCACCATCGGATGTCCGCATCATTCTCTCGGGCTGAAAAAGAGCTTGACTCCGTCGAGTCCGTATCCCGGGTGCGTGACCATGCTTTGGTACCAAGCTGAAGTATAACGGAGGGGGTGGGGGAAGATAATAAGATTAATAATCTGAAATTAAATTTTAGATTTTCTCTTATCAAGGGATTTAAAATTTGGATATCAAATAAGATGGAGGGAATGATAAATATGTGATTAATTATTCCCCTAATTGAATTCCTTAACAAGGAAGGAAATAATTAAAATAGGAGAGAGAGAGGGTTCGACCTAATAAGGAGGGAAAAGAAAATGTGTCCACATACAATGTATGTGGGCCCATGCATTAATGGGAGATTTGAGAGTTAAATGTGAAATAATTTCAGATTTAATATGATTGAAAGATTTCCTAAAATAGATGTAGATTATTGTTGACCTCTATACTAGTGTCAGGATCGAGTCGACCACGCAAGGTTGATTTCGGAAGTGAAAAGAAGCTCGAAATTATAAAAAAAAAACTCACACGAAACGTGTCGACTGAAAACCCAAAATTGTCGAATGGCCTCCGTTCGCGAAACGGACAGCGCCAATGCGTCCGGAGCAACAGAAACAATCGACACCCATATTGATGAATGTCATCGGTCGGCGAAAATTTAAATTTTGGGCGCACGAATCGAAGCGACGACGTGTGCGAGTGGCGACGCGGCGATCAACTCGATGCAAGATTAAAAATTTTATTTTTATTTAGTGCAATATAATTAATTTTTTTAAGAAAGAGAGGGAGAGAAAGAGTGCCTTTGAAATTAAAAAAAAGAATTTTCTTTAAATAAAAAACTCAAAAAATACCCTAAATACCCACTTAAACCCCTCATCCCAACCTCCCTCTCATTCTCACGATCCAACTCACTCAAGAAGGAGCCTCCCCCCTCTCCCCATTCGCCTCTCTTGCGATCCAACCGCCGACCTCCCTCCAAGCTTCTCCAAGTTAAATTTCTTCTCTTTCTCCTTCTCCGTCTTCTTCTTCTCCATTCTTATTCCTTTCTTCTTCTTCTTCTTCCTTCCCTCTTCTTTTTCTCCATTTTTCTTTTTCATTCTTCCTCTTCCCATTTCCTCCCTCATTTCCTTACATTTTTCTCCTCTCCTCTCATCTCCTTTCTCTCATTCTTCTTCTTCTTCTTCCTCCAACCTTTATTTCTCCAAACCTACAAAAATACTAACCCTAATTTTTTTATTTCTTCATCATCCATTCTCCCACCATCCGCTTTAAGTGCAAGATGGTAAAATTTTCGATTTCAAATACAAAATCTTCACATTCCTAAATACTTAAGCCCATTGCTACTACGTATCTGACTAACGACTAGCCTTAATCGAAAGTTCTCTCTCATGATTGGGAGGGATAATTAATTATAGGGCCTTGCGCCTATAGGAAACCAGAACTCACATCATAAAGTCCTCACAAAATGAGGACCGTATTAATTCTCTCCGCTAAAGTCTAGTTTATTAGAGAGTTGCATGAGGGATATCTCTTAGTGGCTAATCTCATTGTTAGTTTAGGGATTATCGTTGAAAATGAACCATGAACGCAATGTTAGATTAATTGATTGTTTTACTACCTTAACTCCTATGCATGTGATTTAGCCTAAGCTGGTTTTATCGCCTTGTTGTTTTATCTTAGCGTTTAAATCGGCATAAGTTTTATTTAATATTGTTCTTGAAATATTAAGCGTACAAATTTCTTTAAACAACTCATCTTCGTATGTACGTTCTACATCATCTTGGTATTAGAGCATGGCTAGCATGCATTACATGTGCTAGATGCATCCTAGGAGTCTACTTAACTATCCCTTAGCTTGTTTACATGCATACCATTGCATTATTATTTTGCATCACTGTTTTAGTTTGCTGTCCACTGTTTTTCTGCACTCATTTAGTGAGTTTTAAGCTAATTTCTTAAGTGTTTAAGTTCTGTCCACATCCTAAACTCATTCCCTTACACTTAGACTACTTAATACATTAGGTTGTTTTGCTGTCCAAACTGACTTGCTTTACCTAGTGACCTTGGCTGTAAGTCTAAACCTTGCTTTTAAGTGTTGCCTCCTATCTAGATTCATCCCTAAGTGTTTCCAAGCGTTTTTCCAATGGACCCGATAAGACTTCAAAAGAAGTTAGATGACATCCTTGACCTAGTGGGCTCTATGACTAGAATTATGACGGAGCAACCTGTTGACTAGCCCCACTCTAAGTACGCGCCCCACTCGATCAATCCTGCTAGTCGGAAGATGCCCCAATCGGCTTATCAACCTATACCTGAGCCTAAGCCTCCACGACCTCACTTAGAGTCACCTTACCGTCTACCCACCTTTGATGGTTCCTCAGACCCTTACTACTTTAGGGAATGGGCTAGACAATTAGAGGATTATTTTGAATCACGTCATATCCCTGAGTCCCACTAGGTTAGCATCACTAAGTCTCACGTAAAAGGTCGGGCTCTTCAATTTTGGATGAGGTTGGAAGATCATAAAGAGTCTCGCGGTGAGTAACCTACTTCTAATTGGAAAGACATGAGGCTAGAACTTAAGGACCCTCTCTACCCTAGTTGGATAACTTTGCTTGATTACCTGGCTGCCCCTAGGAGACTATCCATGACCCTAGCTGAAATTCTCAATGAAATGGCCATTGTAGCTGAGAATGTCTTCATTGCTCCTCCTACATCGGTTCCCTTAAACATGTCCTCTCATTTTTTGACTGATCAATCTTTATTCCCATCTTTGTGTGCTTGTGAGTTAGCATGTTGTGTGTATTTTGTAGTCTGTTTTATCTAATTTTATCCTCTGATTAAAACTTTTGTGTATACCCCAAGGTTTAAAATTGCGTAACTTCGCCTCGAGGCGGTTTTCGTCCGTGAGGTGAGGCGTAAGCCTCGAGGCGATCTGAGGCGTAAGCCTCACGAACACAGAATTGCGTAAATGAAAAATTAAGGGTTTAAGCAGGAAAATAATAGCAGTAGTGGAAAATAAGAATGTAGATGCAATAAAATCATGTCCCAAAGTACAAAATCACAAAATATTAGTTTAACAAAACTCCTTTTTGGACTTCTCCTAATGAAAGAATCGAAAATCACACAAAAAATTTCCAAAAATCTAAAACCCTAAAATTTCTTTCACTTCAAAAATCTAACCAAAAAGTAA